AATGTACTTCGCTATTGCTGCCACACTCCCTATGTCATCCGCCAAAAGCCAACCACAGAGGCGACCCAGCAAACAAGGCTACGTTGGACCAAGGTTGTTTCAACGTTTCGAGCGTTTATTCAGTGTTACTTCAACGCTGACTCAACATTATGTGTTTCAAATTGTTTGCTGGGGAGTTACTCCATTCTGTCACTTATCTAATGCGATTCGAGAAATCTCGCGCCCTTCCTCCTAACATGGCAAGAGAGAAAGAGCGGTCTAGACTCTAGACCAATAAGTTGGTCCATCGCTCGAAAGCATTTATCTCTCGCATCAGTAATACCCCAAGAAGTCCCCCTTCAGTGAAGCAACATTAGTTCAACGTTTAACGTCAACGCAGCTGTTGTCGAATCGAAATTCACGTGTCGACGTTGATTTCACATTAAGTATGAATTTTTATCAACCTTGAAGCAGCGTTGACATCAACAGTATGTCAACATCGATTCAATGCTCAACAGCAATATTGCAACTTTCATTCAACATTTCCTCATCAACCTACATATTGAAAATTCATTATCTTCAACTTGAAAGCTATGTTGAATCCACGACGGTTAAATGAGACCGGTCTCAACAGGCTGCTTGATTGGTGCGCATGCGCCACTTTTATAGCTGAAGTAGCACGTGAATATCATCTCCACACGATCTCAATCCTCCGAAGTACCTTTCAAAGATTCCCCCCACCCCCCGCCAAGTTGAACGTGAACTCTAAGCCGAGATAAGAGAGACATCCCGCCATCGTGGAAGCAAGAGGACACTGGACCCCAGTAGCACATAACATTGAAACAGCATGGATTCAAGGTTGATTCAATGTTATGTGCTACAAGGGTGGGATTGCTGCTGAGTAATAAAACGCTCCAATCACTCCACGTACCCTTCCGCGCGAGCTACAGGATCAGGACTCAGATTTTATTTCGAGTTTCGGACGATGGGATCTCATGGAATGACATGACAGCATTAACTTTCCCCTTCCCATTACTCTGCTCAGAATTACCCTAGGTTTTGTTTGGTTATTTTACCGCTTTCGTCGAATATATCCAGGAAGTCAAATACCGTCTCTGGAGTCGCCTCTGGAGAAAAAAAAAAAACAAGTACAACTCCAAATAGTACTGGGGACGCGTGCCGATTGCATTTGTGAGGTGACTCGCTGTGTTGGCGAGTAGTCGCCATCACACTTCGGATTAATGAAGTCTTGTTTGTTCGAATATCTCGCCAGATGTCTCGCCTAACACCTGTTGATGTAACATTGAAAGGAAAATGTCCTCGCAATATCGTTTTTTTCAACATCGAGTCAACATTGACCCAATGTTGACAAATTGATTTAATAGTAAAGAGCCATTTTAATCAGCCTCTGAGCAATGTATTCGGTTGCATCTTTTCCATCATCGGAAAATTGGAAAATTTCCCTTTTGTGCGGTTTACGAAAATGATTCACCGAAGACCCGTCAGACCTGCCATCCGCCATACGAACCGCAGCCTCTCCGTCGGACGGTGGGACATCGACTGTCCCCTTCGAAGCCCATTCCCCCCAGAGCGAATGAAGTCGTTCGTGGCCTGGACCGCGAGCGAAGGCCTCGCGGACTCGATGAAGATCGTCTCCGTTTCGGTGCGTGCCGTCGAGTTTCCATTCCGGCGCTTGGCGGGTCCTCCCGTGGAAGGTCTCGTCTGTCGCCTTTCCTCGAATCCAATGTCCTATGGCAAGAATAAGCACGTTCTCTCCGTTTTTGGATCGGTCGTTGCCTCTGCAAGCGTCAGACGACGTTTTTTGGAAAACCATGGTCGTTGACGGTGTGAACGATTTAGCTGATAATGGCTCATGTTACGATACCAAGCGATAATGAGAAAGGCGGTAAATGAGATAAATGAGATGTCGTTATCGTGCCGGAAGTGTCCTTAACAAAATTGGAACCTGCAAACATTGTTCCTTTAGCTCAGGCGAAAAAACGTTACGGAATGATGCAACATGGACTGCATGGACACTTCCTATCGCGCGGGGGAAGTGATTCATGTCAAACGTGTGATAAATGCCCCTCGTATCTGTGGAATAACCGTGGGATATACGATCTCGGATCAACGGGAGGAAATGCTTTCCCACATTATCGTCACGCGGCTTCCAAATGATCGAGGAATCATTTCCCTCGGCATAGATAAGACAAGAGTCACGTCCGGAAATCTTATATCCGCGTTCCGAAGCTCTGACGAGTGGTTTTTCT